TCTCTCTCTCTCTCTCTCTCTCTCTCTCTCTCTCTCTCTCTCTCTCTCTCTCTCTCTCTCTCTCTCTCTCTCTCTCTCTCTCCATGCAAAAAAAAGGCCTACGTACCTTGGTCCACTATGTCGGTGCCGTGCTCTGGTTATGCCGCCACACGTCATTCTCTCTCTCTCTCTCTCTCTCTCAACCTTTTATGTTTTTGATTTTTTATAATTCTTTAACACGACATTTTTCCAAAAAACAAAATATGGAAAAAAAAAAAACAAAAAAATTCAAAAAATTCTCAAAAAAAAAAATGTTATGCTGAAAAATATACTGAACAACTTTTGCCTTGTGGTCATATCCAAAAACGTTACTGAATTTAAAATAAAAAATCACATACGTTTCATGTTTTTTCTTTGGAAAAAAAACAAACAAACAGCTTTTGCCTCAGGAAAATTAGTTTTTGAATTTTTAAAATCCGAAGACAAAGTCAAAAAATAAAATAAAAAATTATGCAATTTAGATCTCGAAAAGATCTACAACCCCATATTTTTTGTGTTTTTTTTTTATAATTCTTTAGGGTCACAAAAGTTTCCTGAAAGTTGCGGCCGCACCCAACCGCGACCGGAGCCGCGCGGCCGTGATCACGTCCGCCCTCCGAGCTTGACCGTCCGCGGGTGTTTCATAGGATGGAAGTGCCGCATCCGTTCATGCGGTATGACTGGGTTAAGACAGCCCACGAGGAAACAACGGCTCATTTTGCCGTACGAATCACAGAGTCCGCTATCGACAAAAATGAGTGGTATTGGTCCAATATCCGCGACGATGTGAAGTACATCGTCACCAACTGTCAGGTCTGCGCCGCTGATAAAGCGCCGATTCAGCCGCCAAGATCGATAGTGCCCACGGTTGTTGAACGGCCATTTCAAAGAGTGAGCATGGACACTACCGACATAGTGGTGCCCCCTGGCCCTAATAGTTGCGAGTATTCAGTCCTGCTGGTATTTGTCGACCATTTCTCGAAATGGATCGAAGCGTATCCTTGTCGCATGCGGCAAGCCATGGAAATCGCGCGGTATGTCAACCGTTTCCTCGGGATGCATCAGGATACGGAGGAAATCCTAACCGACAATGGGGCTGAATTCAGGGGAGAAGTGTTAAGGAATCTGGTCCTACATGGCGTCGCCATACGGAACACTGCACCTCACATGTCACAGTCCAACGGGCTGGTCGAAAACGCTAACCGGGTGATAAAGACAGCGT